CCACTGCTAAGGGAGCGGTGCGAGAGAGACAACTGTCAGTTTATCGAACCTTGTATTATTGAATCATGTTTCGCAAACTTTTTTCTCAAAACCAGTTACAAATACAACGTCGCGTTCTTAAGTGATCTTGTATTTTTGGTTCATGGTATCCTTCTAAACTATAAAGTTAATTTAAAGAATACGAACTTAAAGTTTTAAATTTATAAACGGTTTAACTAATTCCGTATATACTACATACAAGTACATGCATTTATTATTAAAATGGATATTTCTTTGGACTTGAAATTGTTGTATTGCCATTCCCAGTATTATAATAGGTTTGTTCGTCGAGCAAAAAATTTGTACGAATTTGTACGAATTATCACGATTTTTGCCCAAATCGCGTTCGTGCAGACCAAAAAATTATCCAACACTCAAAAATTGTGAGAGCAAAGTGACAGTTCTCTTGGAGAGAAGTTGCAAATTCTTGCTGGAAAAAATTTTGCCAGCAAGAATTTGCAAACACGAAAAACATGTGGTTGTGGCGCATGGTTGCATTTTTGTCTACAATAATTTGAATAAATTAGTTCGTTAAATTTAAAAATTTATAAACACGAGCGATTTTTTTATGAAAAAAGGAAGTAAATAATTGTTGATATAATTAATTTAGTTAATTCCAATGATTTGAACTTAATTCGGCTGAAAAAAATGGTATTCGCAATCGGAATGCAATTGCAACCAGAGTCGATTTAAGAAACCCGACAGCTAGTACGATGAAGAAATTGAAATGTATGTTAAAGAAAGTCAGAACAACAAGAAATATAAATGTATATCCTGTTTTTGGCCATCCGAAAGAATTTTAAAAATTCTATAAAAATTTTTTATGTTTGAAATGCAACCGTGGACGCCAGCTGGCAGCGAAACTTGCAAATTCCTGTAAATTTGCGTTCGTGCAGAAATTTGCAAGTTTCTCAACATGAGAGAGAATTTGAGAGAATTTTTTCTTACTCTCTGATATTTTGAGTGTTGGATAATTCTTGCTGGATTTTCGACGAACAAACCTAATTTCTCAAATCGAAGGCACCTGGCAACACTATTCCTCTAACAATTTTGTTTTATTTACAATTTGGCAATTTACCAGCGCTGCGTCCCTGTTTTAGCAGTTTAATTGTTTAAGGATTTGCAGTCATATTAACACACATAATTGTTTAAAAATGAGGGAGGATTCAAAGATATGCAGGCTTTGCGCGAAGTCGATCAACAATCTAAGCGCAGTGTCACTTTTTGAGAGAAGTCGAAAATCTCTAATTCGGAGGATCTTCCAACTAACTGGTGTCAAGGTACTTATGGGCCAAATAGAAATCACTATTATTGTGTGGTCTACTTTCAGTTGAAAAATATCAGCAATATTCCAACAGCAATGTGTTCTGATTGTGAAACGGAATTGAGTCGTGCTTATGAATTTCGAGAGCATTGCATTAGTGCACAGAAGTACTTCTCTAGCGCGAAATATAAGACTCACGTTGGTCAGTCTAAGAAAGAAAGTAAATGTAATAGTAAAATAGATTTCGAATCTGCTTTAGTTAAAGAAGAGGTGATGTTATGCGCGCCAGAAGATGTGAAAACCGAACTAGAAAAAAGTCTCGAAGATATTCCTAATACAGTGGCGCATGCCGATTGTGAATTTCTGGCACTTAACGAAGATGAAATTGCTCATGCCAGCTATGACGAACAAGAGTTGGAACCTTTGGATCAGAAAATAGAGGACACAACGTACAAACCAGCGCAAAGGCATACAACAGTAGAAAGTATTGAAGAAGAATTGGAAACAACTATAGGCGACAGTGAGAAGCCGGTTAAATCTACGTCAACTCGATTGAGAAAAGTGAGGAAGTGTGAATCCGACAAAAATGATAAAAAGAAAGCTTATCTTCCAGAAAAGAAACCCAAAGGAAAAGGGAAAAGTAAAGAAAGAATATATGTTTGTGATCAATGCGGTAATCAATTTAAGTATCGCAGTCATTTCTATTCACACATTAAAAGGCATACCGGCGTAAAATCGGTGCAATGCGAGTAAGTTTACTGATTAAATAGCTTAGACCAATTATGTATTAAATTATATCTTTTATTTCAGAGTATGTCCAGACAAGTTTTTCACTGACGGCGAACTAAAACGTCATATGCGTCGACATACCGGCGAACGCCCGTTCGCTTGCCAACACTGCCAACGCCGTTTCACCGACTACAGCACACGAGTTAAACATGAACGGTAATTTCAAATTTCTAGTCCAAAACACCGTTTTTTTTTCAAGGAAAAGATTAAAGAATTTTATTGAGCTTGAGGCTATTTTTATTGAGCAATTATGGTGGAAAAACACCAATAGTTTACAAATGGTAGAAGTTATAGCTGCTATTTCGGATAACCACATACCTCAAGAGACTTCCTCACTGCGGTCACTGGGATATGAACTAGCGACTTCCGCTACTTCAATGGCAAAAATTCTGCTGCTATTTGGACTTGATCATGTGGTTGTTGTGGTTCTTGTTTTCTTTTTATAGATAATAATTTTTTTTTAGAATTCTAACTTTAATGCCGACTTACCACTAGGTATTGAAATGACAAAAATTGAAAGCATTTAAAAAATGTCATGTGGAAATGAATTTAACGACTATTTTTCAATGATGACATTAATACTATTTTAATGCCCAACTTCGTCATTACAATTTTTACCATTTAATGCCTAGTGGAAATCGTCAATAAGTATTTGTTTTTTTTTTGTTATTTATTGGCCTTATGACTAAAACTTTATTTTTTAATACTTTTATTTCAGAACTCACACCAACGAACGTCCATTCGGGTGCCCGCAGTGTGGTAAAGCTTTTACAACATCATATGTGTTAAAAAATCACATGCTTGTGCACACTGGCGAACGTTCCTTTAAGTAATGTGATTTAGAGAATATTTAGATAGAAATATTTTAATGAAACCCGTTCTTTGCAGATGTACGCTATGCGATAAATCGTTCCCGCGTCAAACCAACCTCATTGTACATACACGTTCTTTGTCACACAAACAACTTGTTGAGCGTGAGCAACAAAAGCTCATTCAGCAGAATAGTGGAGAAATAAGATAACTTTCATCAAAACTACATACTAAAATGGTTTGCCCCAAATTTCTTCACAATGTATTTTTTTCAACTATCTGATATTTTCAGTCTTCAGAGTCGAAAATTTCTCATATCTAATTTTTCACTCACTTAAAAATTTTTTTCTTAGAAATAAACTTACAATCAAATAAAGAAGCTGCTTTATAAATCGAGAATTCGGGGGAAACTTTCCTATAAGCGTTGAAGCGGCGATGTGCGAAGGTGGGGTGGGCACCTCCAACCCCCATGCTCGCCAACATGCTCGCTGTCGTTTGCCACAGACGGTGAGCGGCTCATATGCAGGGATGTCAGTTGAATGCATGTCGTTTTTCTAGATATAGAAAATAATTTGCAAATACCTAACTCACTCTTTATCCGATAGTGAAAAATTCATTTTTAATGTTGCCTGATTATAAAAAGGCAATAATATGACAATCGAAAAAGAAAATAAACCTAAGAATGGGGGCGTCTTGCGCTTATTTGCAAATAGTACCACTAACCAGTTTGCGTGATTTAGTTATTTGCAAATAAGAAATTAGCTCAGCGTTTATGCGGCAAAGTTTACCATTTTCCAAATTGTTCTTTGCAAATAATACGGGCGTATAAAGGTAGTAAATGTTGTCGGCCCGTACAATTTAGAAGCAAGAGAGAAAAAATAAAAGTCACTTGGAACGCGAAAAACCACTTTTCCTGTAACTACTTCCATTTTTTTTAATGCTAAGCGCCATGGAGACGATCAAATATCTTTATCAACCGTCTCGCGTTTTGCTTGACAAAAAACAAGCGTACTTGCCTTCTGATAGTCGTGGTAAGTGCGCGGACAAGAAAAAGAAATTGCTTGTTGAATTAACGCGTTTATTTGAACGTTTGCGGCAAGACACGAGCCAATCTCACACATATGCAATACTTGACGTATTTATTTGATTGTCTTCGTGGCGCTTAATGTTCTTTGCTATCTGTTTTTGTTTACAAATGCAACCCTGACGATCGTTTGACACTTCATGAACTTGCAGGAAGAAAAACTTCGGACTAAAACCTGCAAGTTACTCCCACAAAAGTGGTTTGACTTGCATGTTTTTTGGCACCTGGAACGCTTTCCTGAAAAAAAAAACTGTAATTCGTGAATATCGTGAGCATCTGGAACGCAACTAATATGTTATTAGCTAAATTTTACGAAATTTTAAATAAATTACTGCAACTGAGGGGAATATGTTCCTAACGGAACTTTTTGGAGCCATTTAAATTTTTTGGTCAAAGTCACTTCCGCTTTTTGAACAATTTAAAAAGTGGAATGACGGTTCAATGTACTAGAGAAGCCAGTTTTCAAAAAACATCTATGCATCGACTATTTATACATCGAGTGTAATTTTCGATGCATTGAAGCAAAACATCGATATTTTCGATGCATCGATGTTTTTCCGACATTCCTACTCATATGTGATTTTGTCGTGATAGCGTAACTTACGGCACGTTTACATTGGACAATGCTGTCAAGACAATAAAGAAATACGTATTAGTTGTCAAAAACTCTGATAATTGTCTCCGTGGCGTAGGCGTCCTGACAATAGTAAAGACAATTCATTTTAAGCAAAATGCTGAACGTGAACGTTGAATTATAAGTTCCTGAAATACGCAATTCGCGCGAGCTATTTGAACTAAAAAATAAAAAATATGAGACTCAAGCAAATAAACGTCCGCTTGTTATAAATTTCAATCATCAATGGATTTATTTCCATGCCCCCGACCAGTGTTGCCATCTGGTCCCTAAATTAATAGTTGGTATCCTGCAAAACCTACCTATGTATACTATGCCGCTAGTTACAAAACCTTAAAATAAAATGTACATTATTTACAAATGCTTATGCTATAGCTTATATTTTTTCGATTACACTGATCTTAGTCTAAGGTGTGGCTTTGATCCTCCCTTTTCCACAATTTAATGTTCCTACTTCGATTATCCCATCATACGGAATTTGCGTAATCTGGCAATTTTCTAAGGCTCTAACTACGTAGCAGTCTTTTGGTAACACATTTTGTTAATCTCGTAAGGACCCTTGTATTTTGGAATCAATTTCTTATTCGTTCCTACCGTTGTATCTATATTTTTAATTACTACAAAGTCCCCCTGCTGGAACGATTGTACTTCTCTCCCAATCCTGGTGTAAGATTGGATCACTTAATTTGGCGAGCATCCACTTTCCCATTGGCTTATGGATAATGTACGGCCACCTTAATCGCGCGTCGTTCGTCAGCTGTTCCAAATAATCAAAATAATTGTCCTTTTTAATCAAATCCAGGCAAGAAATATAGTTTATAATGCATTGTTTGATATAAAATTTTGATTTAACTGCCGTAGAATGCAAAGTTTGACAATGAAAATGCCTTTTTATGGCGAATATTTTGATGTTTTTTTTATATTTTAATGTTTTTAGGCATTCGATTTATTTTTCGTGCAACCCTGCGAGAGTTGAACGCAAAATCGCACGGCGCGGACGGCACGTGAAGACGGCTGCTTAGACTAGGTTCGCACAAAGAAACTTTGGTTGCTCATTTTCGGCAATTTCTATTTTGGTGTTGCCCTTCGCGTTCACACAGAGAAATTCTTTTGTACAAAATTGTTGTTTTCATCTGTGAACGGCCAACTAGAATTACTCAGACGAACGAGAGCACAAAAAGTGTTGCCCGAGCACGAGCCCCGGTGCCCTTCCACCTTCCTCGTCCCCCTCTCTCACACAAGTAACGAGTTGCCGCGACAAAAGTTTCTCCGTCTGAACCCCGACTTATGAAACTTTTTCGGTTGTAAAATCTCGATAACAAAAATACTGGGCATAGGAAAAAAGTATCGAGTATGTACTATTATCATTTCATCCCTACTTGTTTACAAATTAATAAATTCTCGGTAGCGTCACATGGGTGTAATTTCTTCAACAGCAATACTCCATTAAAAAGTAGGTTAAAATGCGGCAGGAATTAAAGCTTTGCAGACTTTGTGCGATGCCCAGCGAAAGTATTTCAACAATAGCGCTTTTTGATAGAAGTCGAAAATCTGTACTACGAAGGATTTTCCAAATTACTGGTGTCATGGTATGTACTAACAGTGAACTGAGTGAACTCATAATAAACTTCCTTTTAATTGTAGTTAAAAAATGCCACCAATATTCCAACAGCCATGTGTTCTGATTGCGAGACTGAACTGAGTCGTGCCTATGATTTTCGAGAGCGTTGCATTAGTGCTCAGACATACTTCTCCAGCGCCGAGTATAAAAATCACGTTGGGCAAGCTCGAAAAAAGACTAAATTTAGTAAAAGTAAAACCGATTTAGAGTCTACTTTAGTAAAAGTGGAGCTGTTGCCATCTGTGACTGAAGATGAGAACGAAGTGAAAATAGGAAAAAGCAGTAATTTCGAAGGAGTTTTTAAACCTGAAGCATATACGGAATATCTGGCCCTTGATGAAGATGAAATTGATCACTTGAGCTATGACGATGAGCCGATTGAACTCCTGGACCAATCAATAGACAACACTACCCAAAAGAATAAATACTTAGAAAATATTGGAGCAGAATTGGAACATCTTATAAACGACAACGAAACCGTCGAGGACACGAAACCAATTCTATTGGAAAAGGTCGTGAAATCTGAGATCGGGGTAAAGGATTCAAAAAAAGATCTACCGAAAAAGAAATCAAAAGGAGAAGGAAAAAATAAAGCCAAAGGAGAAGGAAAAAATAAACCCAAAGGAGAAGGAAAAAATAAACCCAAAGGAGAAGAAAAAAATAAACCCAAAGGAGAACGGAAAAATAAAGCAAAAACATATATTTGCGATCAATGTGGCAATCATTTTAAGTGCCCTACTCATTTCCGTTCACATCTTAGACGACATACTGGGGTAAAACCCGTGCAATGCGAGTAAGTTTTTAAAATTTAATGTGTCGATTATGGATGACAACGCAACCGCAGTTGAAGGCAATAAAATCCATCTGTAATACCAACTGAGGTTCGGTTGCAATCCGTAATCTACCCATAAATAAGTAGCTCAGTGCATATAAACATAATATAATTATTTACTTCAGCATTTGTCCAAGTAAGTTTTTCACCGAAGGCGAACTTAAGCGCCATATGCGGCGTCATACAGGAGAGCGTCCATTCCCTTGCCAATATTGCCCACGCCATTTCAGCGACTATAGCTCACGAATTAAACACGAACGGTAACTATCTCTTTTGAAATACTGCAAATTTAATTTTATCTGCGTCTATTTCAGTACTCATACAAACGAGCGTCCCTTTAAGTGCCCACAATGCGATAAAGCTTTCACAGCATCCTATGTGTTGAAAAATCACATGCTGGTGCATACTGGTGAACGCCCCTTGAAGTAAGTAGATTTACAAAATTTTCAAATTAAAATGTTACTTTAGTGAAAGAAATTTTTCACAGATGTGTGCCGTGTGATAAGTTTTTTCAACTTCCAACCCATATCAGTACACATAATCGTACTTTGTCACACAAACAAAATGTTGAGCGCGAGCAACAAAGAAAACTCCTTCAGCAAAAGAACGAGGAATTGGAGTAACTTTCATCAATATATGAATACTTTAAAACATTAAAAAAATGCTTTGCTTCAAATATCTTTACAATGAGTTCTTGATAACGTTAACTTTTTTAATAATAAAAAGAAATCACCTCATCAGACTCTGTTTGGCCTCAGTGGGATTTAAACTGCGACCCTTCTGGCGTACAAAGTAGTTGAAATAAAGGCTAAAAAAAAACTATTTTTAAAGGTATTTGTATTTATTAAAAGCAATTCATCCAAAAATTATAAAATCATTTCTGTGATGAATAGTTTTCACTCATTGTCGTTACCTAATAAAATACATACTGCAATGTGGCTCAATAGTTCATATTCTAAACACATAGTATGCATATCGTCGTTTAAAGTGCAAAACCGCGTAACTGACATTGGCTGCCAAAAATTGGATTTGCTCACACAAGCTATTGTCTCAATCCTTATCCATTCGTCCTGAAATATACTAGGCAGAGATGCGATTGCTTTATAAAAAAGAGAACCATTTTGAAATATGAGTGTTTTTACGCTCTAGAAAATAATTTCTACAACTTCACATACGCGGTTTTGTATTTTGCTGATACGCGGTTTTGCATTTTGTTGATACGCGGTTTTGCACTTTAAACGACGGAATGTACATACATGTGGTCATCAAAGAAAAAAATCATTTCATTACGTATCCAAACCAACTTATTCAGCATTAATATAAACATCTTCGTTGTGGCGTTGATACTCCTCACCCACTTCTTCAACATTTGTAATTGTATTTTGGATAGCCATCGAGTCAATATGCTGATTTGGGTTTATTTGACGTATCACATGCTCCACTTTGACATTTGCCAGTTTGGGATGTCTCATTGCCTGCTGGTGGTGCATTATAGTGGTAATGTGCTGATTTGGCTGCACGTGGTGTAATAATTCCTGCATTTTAACGTCCGCTACAACCTGGTTTCTAACTGTTTGTTGATGAGTTATAGTTGCAATGTGTTGATCTAATTGATGCTTGCGTGAAAATGTCTTATTACATGGTATACAACTGGTAATTAATGATATAGTTCACTTTGATTAATAAGAATTCTACAATAAAATATTGAAAATTAAAAAGACAAAACCGTACTTACGGGAAAGGTTTTTCGCCTGTGTGTGTTAACATGTGATTTTTTAAAACATTAGAGTAAGTAAAAGATTTACCACATGTCTGACAAGTAAACGGTCGTTCGTTTGTATGAATTCTTTATGAAAAGAAGAATCGTTATAAAAGTAATTATAGTTAATATTATCGCAAAGAACCTTTCGTGTTTAATATTCGTGCTTCGATCAGCAAACGTTCGACCACAGTATTTGCAAACGTATGGCTTCTCGCCAGTATGTACACGCATATGACGGCCGATTTCCGAGGGACACGCAAAAGTCTTGCCACAAATTCTAAAAGAAAAATGTATTAACTACTTATTTTACAAATTTAAACTTTTACTTACTCGCATGCGAATGGTTTTTCTGCCATATGTCGGCGCATATGCATTTTTAATAAGTTACGCTTTGTATATATGTTACCACAAATTTCACACATTATGCTCGCCATCTCTGGTTCCTCCTTCTTCTTTCTTCCTCGATTCGACTTCTTTCCTCTGTGTAATTCTGATTTTATGGTGATACCCGTTTTCGCTTTTGGCCGTGGTCGTTTGCGAACACTTTCCTCACCCAATAACGGTTCCTTTTTTATATGCGTTTGTTTTGTATTAACTTTAACCTTGGGTTCCTCCACTTCTTCTTCAAAATATTCACTGTCGGTACATTCAATGAACTCCTCAGCACTCTCTGTATTAAGTTCCATATCGGACTCCACAATGACTTCTTCTTCTTCTTCTACTTTTTCGGTAATATCTTCCAGGCCAACCTCTTCAGCGTCTATAAATTCAGTAGGCATGTCAAAGAACATTTCACTTTCCCCGTTATCATCATCATTTGACATAATCTGGGCGTTGTCATACTCTTGGGGTTCCGATTTCATTTCCGACTATAGAAAAATTATATTTAAAAAAAATTAAAAAAAAAAATTAATAAAATATAGACGATACCTTTACGATCGCATCTAGAAGAGCGTGCTCGCTCGCTTGGCACATCGATCGAAATTTGAAAGAAACATTTAGCTTATCCAGGCACTGGGAACAAATCATCTTAGGAAACTCCTCATGTGGTTTTAACTGTAGCAATATTATCAGATCAATTAAAAATATACGCATTTATAGTAACCAAATGATGTGTAATTGGACAACAGCGCTTACCGCTATGCCCCCGCAAAGTTCGATTCGATGCACAATCTCCGCACAAGTGTCTTCATCATCAAACAATGGCTGCATTGTACTTGTATTAATGTCCTCAGTGAGGCAAATACGACACGAATCGTACACATGCATTACTGGGATGTTTCCAACACAATATGTTTTTCTTGAAAATTATAATTAAAAATAAAGGTTCTGTAAATATTTCCAGTTGATCGATATAAGAACGAGTGTCGCAAAGCATACAAATCAGTGATGGAAAATAAGGCACAATATGCCATTTCTGCACTTTTATTATCAGAGGCACTTCTTGCACAATTCTCCTCCTCTCCAAGATTCTAAGTTTGTGGTTTTATAGTCCATTTAACAAAATTGCAAGTATCTGCAAAATCTCCTTGATTCTTGATGGTTTTTATATTTTGATATGTTTTCAATCATTTAAAAAACTTTCAAGCACCTTTTATAAGAAAAAAACCTAAAATTGCAAACTTGGAATCTCTCTAAACATTCTGAATTAAAGGTTTGCTGTGCGAAAAGCTCCTGAATTTTTATAGTTTTTGTACAAAGTTTGAAATGTCGAAATGTTGTACATATATGGTGTATGGTAAATTACTTATGAGTTAGACTTTTGTATAAAATCAATAAAAACTAAAATTGTCCAAAATGTCTCACTGTATGAATGTGTAAACACGTCAGAAAGAACGAAATTTTAATTTTAGAGCACTTTCATCTTTACGGCACTACTTTTGAAGTCCATTAAGCACATTTTTAAATTTTGAAATTCCATCCCTGATACAAATATGTATTTGTTATTTGTCGCGAATTGTTTGACAATACAAACTGTCAAAATCAACACCGGGCGTCTCAAAAGAAAAATTATAATTATTTCAATTTGCAAATAAGTATAAATAAAAAATACAGGCTGAATATACAGAAGTAGGCGAAAATAAAAGTTTTAGCTAAACACCAAAAAAAAAATAATTAGGAGTATCGACATCGATACTTTACCCGTAAAAATTGAAATTTATTTTTCATCTACAAAAAAGTGTATGGGTAAATATTAAAGAAGCAGCTTGTGTGATTTATTTAGCTCTTAAGTTTGACAAACCGCTTGAGTCGACCGGCATGCCGTTTTAATCCTCAGTAAATATACAAATTGGAAATAACACAATTTAATATTCTATTCAATTGGGAGTAGGATTTTCAACATCGACTTTTTCGATAACGATATTGTTTAGCCCGATATATCGCCATATCGATTTTACATGCAATGAATGAAATTGATTCATGATATCGATACTTTCTTCGAAAATTCCTAAGTCCATCGATGTTCTACGATAGTCTTAAGGGTGGCTATCGATACTATCAATAGTATCTACCCATTTCAAATGTTTTTCTAAATCCATTTATTTTTCGTTATCTTGCTTTTATAAATTTGTTTATTTTTGCAGCTCACGGTTGCATTTTGGTATCGAGAAATATTGCTAGAAATTCATTCGCCGTGTAAGCAGTCTAAAAACGATTCCAGAAATTTTCCCTGCAATTCGCCTTCCGGAAAAAAAAGTTCTTTCGAATGACACTTTACATGCAAGGTGCCACTGCTCATGCAACTGCTTTCTGCAATTTCTCAGTTTGACAGTCTTTTGAAATTAACTGCATTGCCCGGTCTGATACGCTCTTAAGACGGCGATGTAACCTCTGATATTTCCCCGCTTAAAATAAAAAATGGCGCTTTTAGAAATAATGGCATGAACCAACTAAATAGATCATCCAGCACGGCAACCACGTATTTGGAATTACTTTTGAAAAAAAAATTATAGTTGATAATGTAATTTTTTAATCGGTTGTTTCATTCACATGGCGGCGAAACAATTACGTCACTGCAAAAAAATACTTTTTTTCGCACACCGTCCTGGGTCAAGAATGATAGAATCTGGATCGTGTGTTCTATCATTCTTGCGTTAGTTCCTGAAATAATGCTGCCAATTTTTGTTCTCTTTGAACCAATATGTGCAAATATCAAAAGCGGCAGTCGGGTCTACGTAACCGGAACGTCCCAGATTTATATCTGGCCAAGGACTGTCACTCCAGCAACACTCCCCAAAAATCCTTTAGGGAACTTGTATGCTGCTACAACAACAAGAATACGTTATCAATGAAACGAAAGTGGCGATAGTACTAAAACTATCGATAGTTATTTCAAGTGACAAGACTATCGATAGTATCGTCTATAGTTCGACAGCTCTATTTGACAATTTTGACTGATTTTATTTTTTTATTTGGCCGATGTGTTTTTAGAGTAAATATTTGGAAGATTCCCTGGACAATAAGCAGTTAAAGGAAAATTATCAACTGAATGCCAACCATGGAAATTAGCATTAAGTGGAACGTTTGTCGTGTCTGTTTAGCAGAGGAGCAACAACATCATCCAAAATATATTCTGATTGATAGCAAAATGGCCAAACAAATTTATGATATTGCTGGCGTACAGGTTTGTACAATTATTCCTTGATACCTTTAAAAAGTTCCAATCGCAGAATATTGTTCTCAGATGAATAACAGCGACAATCTACCTGACAAGATTTGCCGTAAATGTGTGCTACTGCTAAAATATGCATGCCACTTTAGTCAAACATGCCGCAGCTCAGAAGAATATTTGCAGTCAGTTATTCAAAAAACAAAATCGGCTACGTCTATGTTAAAAATGGATAAACGGAGAGGGCATTCAGTGGAATTACTGGAAGAGATTTTTAAGGAAGATGCTGAATTGATATCTGCAAATAAAGACGAAGCGCTACACGATTCAACAATGGACGACGATTTAAAAATTAATAAGGATAAATTGATAAATTCACCAGTACTTGCTGAGAAAATTGGAGATGGCGGAGAGGATAAAGAAATATGTCCAACTAAATTAATGAGAGCTATTCCGAGAACAACCACAGCTTTTAATATGCAGCAATCTCAAAGAACACAACATGTTAAAAGGACCACAAAATTCTTCGTGATGAAGGATAATGATAAAGTAGGCGGAGCAACATTTAATAATAAGTTAAATAAAATTAACAGAGATGTGGAAAATTTCGAACATGAATTCTCATATGACGATCATGAAGAAAATGAATTAGATGGGTTCGATGACAGCAAAACAAATAATAAAGAAGAGGCTTTACTTGTAAGTAAATCCAACTCAGAATGTAGCATGGATATGGATTATATTAATGACGACGCCCAAAAACAAGAAGATACCAACGAATGCAGTTTAAACAATGAAGAAGATAGCAATGTTAATGAAACAGATAATACACTTGGTGTAGAAAAAAACGCGGAAAACGAGAAAATATTACCCAACAGTGACGACGAACAGGAGCAAGAAACCGATGAACTATTTTACATAATCGAAGAACCCGTAATTAAGGAAGAAGATTCTATAATTCAACAAAATGTACATGTTGAAGCCGATGTAGAAGTTGAACCGAATTTAGACGTTGAAGAAAATGCAGACGCAGAATCGGAGTCTACCATGCAGCTTATTGAGGATTTAACTGAAGCCGATGGTTGCGATGAAGGAGAAGAACCTGGTTATGAAAGGTCTGAAACCAACAGATCAGTGGTACAGATGGAGGAGTATCTAATAGATGAAAGTGATATAGGATCAGTTGCTCAGCAAGAATTAGAATCAAGTGAGGAGCTCGCCTCGAACCGACCCAGTACAACGACTATTAAAATTAGGGATCGAGAACAACGCAGCTCGCCGCATAGTCGCAGAAAAGCGAATTTTTCTTTAATGTTTTCCTGCGACGTTTGCGGTAATCATTTCACCAACCGTAGCTTGAGAAATTATCATATGCGTATACACCGTCAAGAAAAAAATTTCGAATGCGAGTAAGTATGAGATAAAAAAAAAAAATATTAAATGCTAACACTTTTTTGAACATTTGCTGGCAGATTGTGTTTTAAGCGCTTTACCGCGGCATGTAACTTGACAGCGCACATGCGCATACACACAGGAGAAAAACCCTACGAATGTCAATACTGCTTCCGGAGGTTTACAGATCGTAGCACGCACGTGAAACATGAACGGTTTGTATTATTTTATTTGTGGTAGATGGATCTAATAAATTATTACGTACATATATAACATATGCCTCTTTCCTATGTATGTATGTTGTAGAGTACACACAAATGAAAAACCTTTTCAATGCAACACATGTGGTAAATCTTTCGCCTTGTCCACAACGCTTCGTACGCATGAAAAGGTGCACACTAACGAAAAACCCTTCAAGTGAGTAAAATGTAAACAACAAAAAATTTAGAAATTGAAATTATATAGTATGTATATTCGAGAATTGTATGCATGTTAAGTTGTTTGTTAGAAATCTTACCAATTGTGTGTTAATATTTTTAATATCGTGATTTCATCATTTCTAGGTGTGAGCCCTGTAACAAATCTTTCAAACTACCTCACCAGCTAAAGTCCCACTTACTTACAAACCAACATAAAAACATTCTGATGGCTAGTGAGTTGGGGAACTTGGATTATGAAAAATGTATTTAAATAAAAATCTTAGTTATTACTTAGTTTAGCTTCGTTTTATTACAAATATTTTCATATGAATATTCAAATTAATTTGCAGTGCTTCACGAATATAAAAGTAATTACATACGTATTTGTATCCCACAACGTCTCTTCTGACGTTAAGATTTCGAAATCTGTACCCGCGTTCAAAGGTACTTATTCCGCCGACTTTGGTTTAATTGTAAGCAACGTAATATAAGTAAATTACATTACCACACACAGTGGCGATCGCGTAAATAGCACACTTACATATATTTTTTTAAATATTCACAATGTTTTGCGTGATATATTTTTTTGGTAATAATATATAAAAATAAAGTCGATGCTATACCATAAACTATATAAGTCAAAGTTTAAAACTTTGTGCACAATTCAGGAAAATTTAACAAATTTCAAAAAAATGTCATTAAAATCATGATAAAAACATAGCAAGGTAGAACCGTTCTCTCAATTTGTCGGCCATGATTTTTTTTTGAAGTTTGCCAACATTTTAAAATCATATAAAAGTGAAAATAAAAAATTTAAATTGTTCGAAATTGTTGTTGCTTGAGATTGAAAATGAAAATGTGTGGGTGAGTTTGTGAGTAAATTTAAAAATTAAATGGTTTGGAAACGTCAAGAATTTTAAAAGTGTCTCAGCGGTTCTACCTTACTATATTTTTATCATGATTAAAATTATCAGATTTTTTTTTCGGAATTTTCAGAAAGTTGTTGGTATGCAGTTTTGTAGCCCATTCAACTATAATAGTGTGCAGGTTTGAAAATTCTGTAAACTCCCGTGGGTTTTTAAGAATTTTTTGTCGAGGGTGTTGCGCTTTCTTCCATATAACAAAAAATCTATTTTTATATGGAGAACATACGCAACACTCTCGACAAAAAAGTTCTCAAGAATCAACGGGATCGGAACTTTCAAACCTGAACTATACTAAATAAACGTATACTAAAATTGAATAAGCTACAAAACTTCATACGAAATAATTTTCTAAAAATTATAGAAAAATTTTGAAAAATCTGATGACACTTTTTTTTAAAATGATTAAATTTTCCTGAATCGTGCACAACGTTTTAAACTTTGACTTATACAAATATTTTATGTTACACAATCTACTATATATTTTTATAAAAAATGAACGAAAAATATATCACGTAAAACATTGTGAATATTATAGAAAAATAAAAGTGTGCTATTAAGGGGGCTCACGTCTTTTAGCAATACTTATGTACATATATTCTTTTTTTTTTTTTAAATAAAAGCCACAATGTATTCCTTCTTAATTGATCATATTAAAAACTTGAGTTCAATTTTATTTTCTAAATCCTGACACGTTTCATATGGGACATAATTTTAAGCTCCTTTGATAACTATTTAAAATTTTCAAATACAAAAAGTTAGTTCATGTTTATATTTAATCTAAATTTGTTTTAATTTATTTACAGCTGGTGCTGTTTCATCTATAAAAAAATAGATTATATACATAAGTATTTCGTAAAGGTAAAACTTACAAAAAATTACGGAAAAACTGGGGACTAGCAGGGCAAGTCGACTATAGTTTATTCATAAACGACCTCGTATCCGGCAGATATATAGTGCGCTTCCTTTTGTTTGTGGGTAAGGGTTTGTAAGTGCGCTTTTAACTGATGTTGAAGAGTGAATGCTTTTTGGCAGACCATGCAACTAGAAAGATAAATACAAAATAAACAAATTATAATTAGTGAATAGCCTACATACATATTTATGTATGTATGCTTATGATTTTCATCATAACCGAAGGTTCTCAGTGATATCTTCCCACTATCACCCCACAACAACAAGTTTGGTAGAGGAAGATTACACAGGCCTGCGAAATTTAAGTTTTCCCCCCAATAATTATATAATTTTTTTGAATATCTATTTATGTTAAAATAAAATGCATATTTTACGATTTTTAGCAATTTGCATGAAAAGCCAAAAATTCATTAATTTAGAATTAATTTTGTTTACCTAAACAACAGTATTAGTTAAAAATATCCATAAACAGACTAAGTAAATCAGAAAATCTTAGTAATTTCGGTAAGTTATAGCGCTTAGAAAATTGATAAAAGTTATTTTCTTAGGTTACCGGGCATTACTACCGTTAAGTTCGAGTTTACTAAAGTTTTTCTGATTTACTTAATATATTTATGGGTATTTTTAACTAATGCGGTTGGTTTTTAATTAAATATTCAATTCTGAATTAAATAATTTTTTGCTTTCATGCAAATTGCTAAAAATCCTAAAATATACATGACGTGCTAGAAAAAAAAACTAAAGATGCATTTTAATTTAACATACCTACATAGATATTCACAAAATAATATAATTATTGGAGGAGGAAATAAAATTTTAATTTCGCAGGCATGTTATTTGAAAAAATTTTAACTGAAAAACTATTATGTCTTTATCGTGGGAAAGTGTCAAAGAGCCATTCTTGACAACGATGACAGCGATATGCAGATGTTTGTACTTACTTAAAGTCTTTTTTACCCGTATGGAGTTTGGAGTGATTCTTTAGTATGGCTGAATACATGAAACTTTTCCCGCAAATATTGCAAACATATGGTCGCGTATTTGTATGTACACTATAAGCAAACCAAGTAAGAAATATAATCTAATAAAAGCAGATTTAAAAATATTTGAAAAATACCCACCGCTCATGCCGATGTTTCTCACTACGATCTATAAAGTGACGATCACAATGTGCACATTTGTAGGGTTTTTCACCAGTATGACGTCGCATGTGATTCTTTAATTCGCATATTTGCCGGAAAGATTTGCCGCATAGCCTGTTGAATGTTATAAATTAATTACAAAAAAAAAAACGTAGCTTTATGCAGTAGTTAGTTGAACTTACTCGCACTCGTGGGGTTTGACGTTGTTGTGCAGCGACATATGATACGCAAAGGTAGCTTTCTTATTGTAAACGTTTCCACAAATATAGCACATATATGATGTGGGACTCGGTGGCCGAAACTTGCGTTTAACACCCGAAGTATATCTTTTTGATAAGTTCGTTCCACATTGCAAGGGTGTGTTTCCAGCATAGTTCTCTGTTGCCTCTGCGCTTGTATCATTGGCTATTGCTGACGACACATAACTATTAACTTCACTCGACTGAGGCTCTTCTTTAATGCTTCGATCCAAATCATTTTCTGTTTCTATATAGAGGTTATCTACTTCATTTTCATCTACAAGTAAACCCAGATCATCATCGCCGTCATCATCGGTATCAGATTCTAGACCGTTGTTAGCTTCATATACTTTATCGCGGTATACTAGTAGTTCTTCCATAAGGTACCCTAAAAATTCTGCATCCTCAGTGCCATCCGGACGTATACGATCTTCACACAAACTCTCCAAATAGAGCTGAGAGTTTAAACACATTTGTCGAAAATTGTACCACATTCTTGTCATTTCAAAACATTTCCAACATATCTTTGAGGGCATATCAGACGACTCGCGAATCTGATGTGAGAAAATATACAATGCGGTACTTCTATCGAAAATAATTATATTTACTTGTGCATAAGTTATCACTCACCCGTACTCCACAACAATACTCGATTTTTTTATTTAGTTTTAGTTTGTGAAGTTTCCCAGTGGCGTCTGGTTCATTCTCTGCGAACAACTCAAACATACTCTCCTCTTCATTGTCCTCCAAGCAAGTGCGGCATTTCAGTATTATCTTGTGCTCCATTTTATGTTTTTGTTCAATTGGGTTCGCTGAACGATTATTTTGTTATACTTTGCGTTTTATAAAGAGGAGAAAATTCAAGAGGATTTAACAAAATACAATAAAACAGCTGGTCAACTTGTCAAAGTAAAAACGTCAATTAATTTAAAACAAGACGCGGCGCTCTGTTATTAAAAAGATGACGGCAAAAATAAAGCCGGGCATACACGAACAAATAAATTTCGAGCAAATTAGGGTATAAGTGGACGGCTATAACGTACGCACTGCGGATTGAATTGGTCGCCTTATCGATGAAAACAGTTTAATTTTCATTAAACTCTTTAAAACGGTAAAACTATGAAACAAATGGCTTGTTCGAGGCACGTAATAAAAGCGGCATTACTGCTGTACTCTTGAAAAATGGCACCATTGTTGCAACTGCCCAACTGATAATACATTGTTGGAAATTCACACAGAACGCGCTACTTTAATAATTCGCGCAACACTGTGGTTGTGATTGCATCTGGAACAAGCCCAAAGCTTTGACGCGGCGCATCTAGTTGCGCAATAGTTGCAATTTCGTACTAGTCCAAACTACCATTTTTTACTGGAAATCGTTCCCGTACTGTGACAAATAAGAGAGAAGCTACCAGTAGTCATGTAGATTAGCAAAACTTTAATGGAATGTTTGGCAGTTAGTAGAACAGTTTGAGGCTGACGTGGAGTATCACCTCCTCCCATAATAAAATAATTATAGCCCATATGAAGTTTACACCACAATTAATACCTTAAACGTTAACTTTCTATGAGCGGAAGTTTTACATTCTATTAAAATGCTCAGAAATACTCAACCAGATAACGCATTCATATTATATCAAGACTAAAACCAATAGTATATGTATCTAATTTATAAGCCTTAGCTGAACTAGACATTTTATATCAAATTTTCAGAGTACAAAACAAGTGGAAAATAGTTACTGCTTACTGCAAACTGAAATTTTTTCATCGCATATACATACATACATAAATAACGCCATAATAATAATATAATAATTAGACTGTTTTTATTCATTTGCGCTTTTTCTGTACTTTTCCTGCTCTTACACCATTCACGTTCGACGGTGTGCCGGTTTCCTTCTTTTTTGACGATATCTTTTTCTTCGAAGTAGTTTTCTTTTGACGGATTTCGAAAACATCCGTATCATCCTCACCCCCGTATTTCTCCATCAACTTGTCCATAAGCGAATTGAAATTGGACTCACGGGCCTGGTTCCGTTCCATAATTTGCTTTTCCAAATTATTTTCCTGCTCCTTTTTGGCGTTTATCTTCTCTACCTCCTTGGATTCCCGTGCATATTTGGTGTGGCGCCGCTGTCTCTTCTGAGCTGGTTCATTGGTAAAGATTTTATATTCTGGTACTTCACCAGCGTCAATCATTTCCCGTATGATCTTCTGCAGGCGCGGTTCATCTTTCACATTAAAAAACGGCACCTCATTCATAATCCGGTTTATGCAGCCTTTGCCCAAGAGGTACGCCTTCTTCATGTCATTACGCTCTAATTCGGAACCCACATACGACTTTTCATAATTGGAAATATCTTCAACAGTGAGTTTTTTGAACATCTGCCTCCATAAGTCCAGCCAAGAGCTGAGTTTTCCCTCAGTGATATCATCTTCCTCATCAATAATACCTTGCTCATCATACAAACCGCGCCGGTCATTGTCGGATAGAACTTGATAGACCTTTGATAACACTTTGAATTTTTCCGTTGCATTGGATTTGTCATCATCCTTAACGCGATCTGGATGAACTTGTAGTGACAACTTATAATAGGCCTTTTTTATGTCCTTCGGCAATGCATTCTTTTCCAACTCGAGCATTTTGTAGATATCGCGTTCGCCAAAGTATTTTTCACATAAATCTAATAAGCCCATTATGAACGATTATACCAGCTTTTAACTTTGATGAATAAATGTAAATTTAATTCAATAAACAAAAAATTCCACTGGATGTTGCAAAAGAAATGTCGAAGAAAATTCAGCGAAGGCGCGCGAAATGTAATGCTAAAAATTGATAGGCAGGGTTGCAAACGCTTGTATACAAAATGAAAACGAAAGATTGAAATTAATCGATTACTGGTTACTGGTTACTGGAATTTCAGTAGAAAAAGTTTATAATATGTCGCAAAAGAAATTTAAATATTGTTTAATCTAACTTATTTTTTTATGCCATAGGAATATATTCTACAAGGTATTTTTTGACAGGCATTCAAATGCCATATTAGTAAATGTCTTGACATGAGAGTTGATCATGCAAAATTCCTCTGAAACAACGCTTGTAATATTTTATTTCATTTAAAAATTTAACTTTTAATTTTTGAAATTATAAAAAAGGGACTTCAGTCTACGTCCCGTAGGGAACCCACGGGCCTGGCCCGTAATAAATTAAGCGTTTTCACACGCTTTTCTGTAAATTGATACCGTTGATAATCTGATAAAGGTGAAACGTAATTAATTAATATCAATCGAGCTTTCACCTACCAGGCCTTTTGGGCTGCTAAGAACAAATATATACTAAACAGGGACTTCCAATCAAAGTCAGAATTCGTTGTCTCGAATCCTTGCAATTATCAAAAATAAATACGTTTAAAAACTATTTGGCCATACATATATAAAAACTCATATCCATTCTAATAGCAAATCGAATGAACACTTTAGTAATAAGTTTTCTTTTAAAGACATTTGACATTTATTTTAGAAATATATGACAATAGAAAAAGGAAAAAATCAATCGTTCAAAAACTGCACCAGAGAATACATTTACAATACATAGCTACAATTTTTAGAGGACGACTTTTGAGCGGCTTGTGAGCGAGGGTAAGTAGATCATGGATTTGCTTCCTTTAGCCGATCGGAAGGCATCTCTTATTATAATTTTTTTTTTTTTATAATACATATGTAGGAGAATTTTTATCGAACAGCAAAATATACCCCATGTTATGTTACCTTTGTTCTAACAACGATTTTATTACAATGACTCATTGAACTGCGAGCTTCAAACATAATGTAGTAGTTTTTATTTATCAGTTCGATATTGATGAGCTCAATGAGGAAACGGGCCCTTCTTCCTCTTCTTCAGTGCCATTTACACCTTCCTCCGTTTGCATGGGATTTACGCTTGACGCAATTTCTCGTTCATTACTATCTTCATCTCCACTAGGCGGTGAGTCGTGTTGAGATCTACACGCGTTTGTATCATCTTTACATTTTTGGTTTAGTTGTTCAAAGTGGGCTAGTGATGAGGCAACAGCACGTGGCGGGACATTAAAAAGCGGATGTGTTGGTGAGAGCTCATTTACTGGGTCGCCTAACACTTTAGGATTGAGTGAAGATTCAGAGTGCTGGGCAATCGAAACGCCACTTAGAGTATAGCAGGTATGGTAGAGATCTTGTGGCCTAATTTGAAAAAAATAAATAAAAATAAAATTATGTTACAAGTTAAGTACACTAAAGGATCGTTCCACTTACTTGCCAGGTTTGTCGATCAAACCACCATTCGCCTTTTGACAACACAGCAATATGTATTCCTGTAAAGCGCTGGTATCAAAAAGTGATGGCTTTAAAAGCTCTCCTAAAAATAGAATAAGCAATATTTCTTCCTATATACATACATATTTTTGGCGAGTTATATGTACCTTCTTGCGAGATAATAGCCTGTGTTATGGGTATTGTAGCTCCAACCCAAAAAGAATAACAGCCATCGACTAGTTTATTAGTACGTCCTTGAAAACCCCCTTCGAAAGGCATTTGGCGTTGCAAATTCCATTTCTGCGGTAAATTATTATTATTGTTGTGAAATACTTATCAACATATTAATATTTACCAGCAGTTGGTGTGTATCACATTTGTGTCCTTCGTCTAGCATTGCCAAAGCTGCAATACCACAAAATGTGTAACCGCCATGCGCTTCCAAGTCCGGCGCTCCTCCAAATCCACCTTCATATGTCTGACAACTAGCAATCCAATCACCTGTTTTGTCAAACAGTTTTTCCAAAACTTCGGCAGGCATATTTGTCAGTTTAGCACACGAGATAGCGCAATATGCGCCACGCACATCCGTCTCGCCATCTACATGTAAACGAAACGAACCATCTGGCTCACGTACGGAAAACAAAAATTGCATCAATGAATCTCGATCAATGGCACGATACGCACTTGGCGTGCCAATAATGCATAAGCTGTTAACAGCTGCATATGTGGGCGCTAGATGAGGATATTGGCCGGGACCGCCTGCGAATCCCCCGTTCGGATGACGACACCTTCGCATAAAATATAACAGATCTCAATTTACAAATTCCGAATATATGAACCGTTTAGGTTACGTACTTGGTTAGGAATTGTACCACATGCTCCAGTGTCTCTTCATCAAAGGTGAAATTCAATAAATGCGCTGCCTGTAATATCCAGTATACGTTCCACGGTCGACTACTATCTAGGCACTCATAATTTGTAGGTAACCGGCGCAGCATTGATTCCAAGTAGCGTTGGTGTTCTTCGCGATGAATTTTCGCTACCTTTGCATCCAGGTACTGCATTTGTTGAAAGCGATTGAAACATTTTTCGATGGAATTCTCCGTCTTTTGCTGTTGAGCGGTCAAAATGTTATGCACAAGTGAAAATTTGACGACAAAAATTTGATTTAGTTTATGTATTAGCATAGCTCTTTAGCGATGACAACTTATTGGAGCTCACCTGTTCGCGAGATGTAATTGTTGATATTCGTTCATCGTCGAATTTCAGACGCTTGAGTGAGGCGTAATCCCGAAAAGTAGGTTCTGCATCCATATCCATGTCTATTAAATTTTGTGTTATTTTATTGCTCGTAGAAATAAACCAAAAGAAAAAGAACTAACAGTTGCAACAAATGAAAAACAACAAGAATTTGGCAGGAGCGCTGCCCGGGTTGCTTTGTGGCAATAAAGTATGTTGCAAAAGGGTTGTAGCTTTACGCTTTACATTTTACAGGTCTATTCTGCGCTGGTAATAAAAATTTGGTAACCGGTAAATTTAGTTATCATCTCATAAGCTGGTAACAAAGTATTGCCCGTGAAATTTAATATAAATATTGGAAATACATTTTTCCGGTTACAAAATCTTCGTTAACGTTTAGAATAGACCTGTAACAATGTTACCAGTTCTTGTCACCGCGATTTTAGGTATCTTGGTAATCCAGTTAAAATATTTATCAATTCAGCTATGAAGAATTGAGCAAATCTTGGCGTTGCATATTTAACGGGGCAATAATTTGTTACCAGCTTTCTCGTTTTTATTATATTAAATTGTATATGCAAATATTTTCAAGCTTATGCTAGGTTTTATTTAAATTTTTTTTCAGCAATATGAATGTGTTGTATATTTGGAGTTTAATATATTTTGCTATAAATACTGTCTTTGGGAAAATTACCGTTAATAAAGTTATAGTGCGTATACCAAGGCCAAATGATATCGGTCTTATATTCGGTAAGTTCAGTTAAAAAAAAACTAAGTCTTAATATTTTATTATTATCCGTGTTCAATAATCGTTTTCTTATCGCATAGATTTAACCGTTATTAACGCACCGTGCAAAGAGCGAGAGGCATTGGAGTTTCGCATACGTTCAGATGGGACGTGTAGCGTAAATGTAACGGAGTGCATAACCATGAAAAATGTAAGAATGTGGCATAATTTTGATTCTGAAATTGATTATAACAAAAAAAAAAAACACAAGATATAACTAATGTACATATAAAAAATATAACAGGCTGGGCGCGTGGTGGGTGGTAACTTCGGGTTACTTGATGCAGGTGCAGCAGAAGTCGTATCATTGATCTGGCCTACTGTGGTATGATAAATAACATTACGATAGGGTACTCAAATAAACTGTTAAATAATTCGAAGAGCTCGAAAACGTCAAAGCTTTTACTGTTTTCTATAAAATTTATGGGGTATATTTATAGTCAAAATAAAGTCGACATTAAGGCTAGGAATATCTACCAAAAGAGCAGCAACTAACTTTAGAGTCGACTTTATTTCGATTATAAATTCAGCCCATTTTGAGCTTAAGCGAGTCCCCTAAATAAAAATTAGCTTTTTAACCAATTCTTTTTTCACGTTCAAAAGTCACTATATAATCGTGTTGGATCCTGTCCCATTATTGTTACCGCTAAAAATATTCGAAACATTGAGGAGCATCAGAAGCATACCATACATTTCGATACACGTTTTACGACGCTAGATCCCGAAGGACATACGCTGCGAAAAAGTGAGTTAAAAAGTAATTACAAAAAATAAAGACTACACAATTGCTTACTTATCACAATTCATACTAAACTGTTTTAGGACCTGACTATAAGGATTGTAAAAATTGGGACAAGGAATATTTGAAAAATTGCACACCTGTCAACTGTGAAGAACGTTACTTTGGACAGCGTAGTTTTTACAATGAGACTACGCAACATTGCGACGAGGTGCCAGCATGTGACAAACCAAATATGATTTATAACTTTTATACCAACGAATGTTTTATACCGGAAAATTTTTTTACTGCTGAAGATTTGAAAAAGATACAAAGTGGTGATTTCGTAGATGAAAATGCACATGAAGAAGAGATAGCGCAAGCAAAGACACAGGCAAGTATGGAAACACATACATATAAGCGAATAAAATGTATTGCGAAAAAAGTACTATTAATAGTACCAAATAGTTGCATTGGTTACCCTGCTACTATAATAAATGAATTTCCTACATGCTGATAAGGCATGTATATGTAAAGCACTTTAACACACGCGTCGTTCAAGGGCGCCGTGGCTTAGTTGGTTAAAGCGCCTGTCTAGTAAACAGGAGATCGTGAGTTCGAATCTCGCCGGGGCCTGTGCGGTGGTTGTCGCATACAAAGTTTTTTTTTTCTAAACTATAATTTTTTATTGTTTTTTTTCCCAGAATGATGGTGAAAAAAAATTTGTTGTAAGCATTCCATGCGACGACACCAACCAAAAAACATGCGATAAAAAATATCAGCAACAAAAACAAAATCAGCAACGAAAACAACATCAGCAACAACAACAGCAACACGCTGACTTTAAACGCGCTGTCGATGATTTTGATGAAGAATTTAAAAATTTAATGGAATCAAAATTTTTTGATACAGCTTATGGTGGTGGTGACGGCGCAGAGTCTACACAGTCCATAGTAAAAACAGAGAAAACATACATGCCATACTGGCTGAAAGGCATTTTGGAGGGCCTAGCGGTAGTAAGTTCTCTTGGCGTAAAACGCTCTCTTCGCTAGAGAATAATACGAAATTTTTTATGAAAAAGGTTGGTGCTATCATCTTTTTGCAGGTTCTTGCCACGGTTGCTATTTATGTGCTCATTTGTTTTGTGATCTTTCTGATTGTCACATGGATATCACGTCGCCAATTTAAATGCAATGCGGATACTAGTTGTGTTCTGCGTTCGCCAACGGCATCGGATGGTGGCGATGAGCCATTGATAACACCGTCCAGTTTACTATCGCAGCGCTGATTCATGAGAAAGGCTGGAAATATGTATGTACAATACAAACATATGTACATCGTTATTTAAAAATTTCGGGATTTTTATGAATTTTAATTATGAAGTGAATTTTTATTGAAATTCTTATGTAAAATAAGTCGCTGAGTTCGAAAATCTACGTAATATTTACATATTATGTACATATTTTTATTTTCTGCCATGAATTTACAAATTGCGGTTTTGACCGTTCAAACGAAGTGACATGCATACAAATCACATTTGTGCCTATTAAAATTACTCTCTTATGTTCGAATATTTTTAAGGCACTAAAAAACAATTACTGGCTAACAAATACATATATGTATGCACTGAAAGTGCATTAAAAACAGTTTATGTATTTAAAATTTTAAATATATTTCGCACTATATCAAAAATTATATAAATACAAGTTTTAAACTTTGTACAAAATTTAGAAAACTTTAAAGTTTTCAATGACAAAAAAAAAAAAATTCTTTAGTAGATATAGTAGTAGATATAGAGATAGTATTTTGTAAATGAATAAAAAAAATAAATTTGTTTTTAAATATAGCTCACACTATAGAAAAACTGTATGCATACATACATATGTTTGTAAATTTAATTTTTAAACTTTTTATAGAATTAAAAAAAAAAATTATTTCCATAAAAATTTTAAATTTTTAAAAAATTTTTTTTAGGAAAATTTCCAGTATTCAGCTAATGTAGTTTTTGTATAATAATGCGCAAGTTCAAAGTGGCCGAAAATTCCAGTTGATTTTGAGATTTTTTTATGGATGACGGTCTTGTGCAATTTTTTCAATATAAGGCATGCATTTTATAAAGGGGAAAATGCTCAACATGAGCAAACACAAATGCATAAATCAGTGTTTTGAGGACGTCGTTCTGTCAGTATCGTTTGAACGACTATCGTTTCAAAGTTACGTGATTCATGCCCAGAACTTTGAGCTACTTCGAACTTGCATTGTGCTAAAACTAAATTAGGAGAACTGTATACTGAAAATTTTCCAAAAATTTTTTTTTCAAAAGCTTGAAAATTTAATAAAAATTTGATAAAATTTTTTAAGTTTTGTACAAAGTCTCATTCTTAGATTTTTGTATAATACGAGCTACATACATATATTTAATTTTTTTTTATTAATTTACAAAATTCTATCTCATTAAAAAAAATTATAGTGGTAAGTTATGCGTGAACGCCAATGTACATACATACAGTATCGGTCATATCTATAGCACGCCATTTCAAAGTGATATTGTGTGCAACTTATATTTATTTATTTATTTTTGAGAATTTTCAATTAAAATACAGTGCTTTCTCTAACAAACCCCATATAAACCCAAGTTTAACAATTTGTAGAAAACTTCAAAAAAGTGGTAAACTTCAAAGAAGTGTTTGAATTTTTCTGAATACACAGTTTTATAGCCCAATCAATTTTAGTCTGATAATGTGCAAGTTTCAAGTGACTGAAAATTACCGTTGATTTTTTAGAATTTTTTTCTCCAAAGGTGTTGCGGTTTTCATCCATATACAAATAAATTGAGTTTATTCATTATATGGAAGCCAATGCGACAAAAAAATTCTAAAAAATTAACGGTAATTCGTAGCCACTTGAAATTTGCACATTATCAGACTAAAATTGCAGTGGCTCAAAAACTGTGTACTCGAAAAAATTCTAACACTTCCGAGAAAAAAGTTTGAAACTTAGGTGAAAATTTGTCGCACTTTTTTGAAGAATTCTACAAATGGTTAAACTTGGGTTTATACGGGGTTTGTTAGAGAAAGAACTATATTTTAATTGAAAATTCTTAAAAATAAATAAATAAACATAAGTGGCACACAATATCACTTTGAAATGGCGTGCTATAGATATGACCGATACTGTATGTAAATACATACATACATACTTATGTACATACATACATATGTATATGTATATTAAAACCGTAAATTTGTTAAAATTGAATAAACCTTTTCTAGATTATAAGCCTATAAAGTTGTCACTGAAACTTTAGTTAATTTAGCCGCACTGATGGTTTTGAAGGTCCGTCCAACAAACAGTGGGGCAGATCGCAAAAGGAACTCTACTTAGCTATGCTGAAAAAGATTTCGAAAAGGCAACGCCAAATATTTTCTAGGAATACGAAAAAGCTCGGCTCCACGCTCTCACCAGCTCTGTTGCCTAGAGATGGCATAGGTAAAACCAGAGTCTTTGTGAAGAGTTATGCAGCGTCTCCGCCTTCAGGCTGACACCCTGCACTGGTACACAGACGGCTCGAAGACGCCCGAAGGGGAAGTAGGCGATGGAATTTGCGGAGCCAGAACCAGGATCCTTGTCCCTATGAGAAATATGCGAGCACCTTTCAAGTGGAAGTTTACGCCATCTAACCCTAGAGTAACCTAAGGAGAGGGGCACAACAGATCTCCTTGCTAAAGGGTCAAGGTTTTAAAAGAGCTATTTGCACAATAGACAACTAGGTCGGGGTGTACACGTTAATTTAATATTTATCTACATACATACATATGTATGTTTTTCCATAGTACATTTTTTAGTTACATACGAGTAGTATTCCGATAGCATTTGCTAAAGTTGATTTTTGCACCTGTTCATTTGCTTCAATATTATTATTTGAATTATTTATCCCCTCTCTTTGTTTCGCGCAGTAAATACTTATGGGGCAAATCTGAAAAACAGGACACTTACAAAAAAATACGTTTAATTCCTTAATATGTGGGCACACCTACTATGTTTGTATTTTGTAATTAATTTTCATCAAGTGCTTCAAAAGTTAGACGAGGAAAAAACATTAAGTCTCGGTGCAAGTGTAAATTTGAGCAAATATTTTGAAAGTTGAACTCACTTAATTGGGACGTTCTAAATTCAATGGCATCGCCCGTTTTACCAGATTGGCTCCGGTTTTCGAGATAACGGTACTTGAAAGTTTGATTAAATATTTACTATTTTATAAATAAATCACACAGTTTTGAAGTTATTTTACTAAAATTTTGCACATGACTATTTTTTAATATTTCCTTAAATAAGTCCGGAAATCGTTGAAATATGCTCACTTTAACCAATAGTTTCCATACAACTGATTGTTCAGATATGTGGTTTGGCCTCTAATTTCATCATAAAGACAAAGTTAACAGTGTTTATGACGAACAAAAATAACATTAAATTTCTTACCCTCTTAACTGGAGGAGTTATATCTAACACAAAACCGCTTTCGATGATTTAATGGAATACTTAGGGTAATATTAAAAGACGGTCATGTGCAAAATGTTAGTAAAATAACATCAAAACTGAGGAAATTATTTATAAAATAGTTAAAATTTGAGCAAAGTTTCAAGTATTGCTATTACGAAAAGTGGAGCCAAACTGGCAAAACTGGGGGGCGCCATTGAATATAGAAGGATCAAAATTTCAAATCACTATCTGGGGTGCTTCAAAAGTTATGACATAATTAATTTTTCACCTCTTAAAAATTACGTAAAAAATTCATTTGTTTTTAATATCTTTTTTCAGTGAAAACATCTATAACTCAAAAGTTATGCAACAAATTGACCAAGGCGCATCTATACACGGTGGTGTTACTAGCAACAGCTGATTTGATATTTTCGTTTCTACACTAACTAGTTCACTAGTTCAGCAGAATGTCATCCAAAACGAAATGGCGCAACTTTAGGATGTCAACAAAACGAAATGGCGAAAGTTATCTTCTATTCCCTTTCGTTTTGACATCCTGATGTACCAAAAAGCAATAACAAAACAAATTGCTGCCACCTTATATGGATGCGCCTTGAAATTGACTCAACATTTTTTTGAGGCTTCCAGTATACGTCTATGAATTATATCCAAAAGCAACCAGCTTGATATACAGTTGTCCACAAAATAATAGGAGTGCGATATTTTTACCAGTTTTNTTTACAACAATGAAAATAAAGCTAAATAACACAAAGGCTATCTGTTTTTTTAGATTTGCCCATATGTGTTGGTCACAAATATTCAAAAATACATATGTACCTACATACATAGCACATATGTACATATGTATGTACGTCCACTTTCATGTGTCCCATCATATTTATGCGCATCATTTGCTTACTTTAAGATAAGAAAAATTAACGAACTGTGCATAAAATTAGCTAATAAATGGGAACGATCGTTGAACGGAAGGGTTACTCATTTTAATTATAACGCATGTGTAGATATGGTAGGTATGTATGTATGCATGTAAGAATACAGGTTAGTGTGAACTTGTGGTAGTTTATACATATTTACTATGTACTAAGTATGTGTGTCCGATCGACGTCATGTAAACCCGGGTCAAATTGCTAGTGCCGATAAAAGATATTAGTAGAACTGAAATTAAAATTATGTCATAAAATATAAATGACAAACTGCACTCGAATTAAAACATATCGAATTTGCGGAAATTTTCAAGATAAGGGCAAGTTTCTGTAAGAAAAAACACGGCAACCTAGCGATCGACGTCCAAATGAATTTAAATTAAGGGGCGAACACTTTTTAATCCTCTGAAAATAGTGGAAAAGGCGAACCCGAGCCTCCAGTCGATGGCAATAGACTCGATGTTCCACCTATGACTATGGCGAGCAATTGAAAGCGATTGAAAAACAACAAAGCTGCTGGAACTGACAGCCTGCCAGCTGAGTTATTGAAATACGATGGCAAGGAGTTAATAAGCCGCTTACATGAACGGTGCCACCGTCTCACAAGGCAAGATACTCACATAACCCAGCATCTCTTCACATGCGCCTCCAACCCTACGACCCTGACAACAGAAGCGCTCTGGACCGCGGTCATCGACGCCGCCCGCTTTCTCGGCCTCAAGCTTGCGGAGTCGGAGGATAAAGACACGATGATTCATGACAGAACCTGGGGGGTTGAGCACTGCTGCTACAACAATAACAACAACCACAAATCCACCATTCTTGAAGTGTTCAGCAACCTCTTCGGCATAATAATTTTTTAAAATTTTTTTAGTTGCTTTCATTATTATGAAATAGTTTTTTTTTTTACCAATTATTCGACTTTTGCTTTGTTTCTTTGTTTTGGTTCACTCTTTCGTTTTCGTTTAACAGCTACTTTCGATAAATATCCGATAAAAATTAGGGAAGACCACGATTTCTTCGTAATTCGCAAGATATTTGAGACTTAATTACTTACAAATGATGTAATTCGCTCTCAAAATTTTGTATGGCGAATTACGTAATGTAAGTTATTTTGCAAATAAAATCAATCAAATCAATGTATTTCAGAATTTTTAGCAATTTGCATGAAAAAG